TATTGATACAACTCATATTACAATTATGCATAGTACTGACAGCAAATATATCTGAAGGCTTTGTACAACTGGCCCTTTCCAATAATTCTTATGTTTTATTTCCTTGTATGTTTAACTTTTTAAAATATGTATTTAACAATTATTTGTTGTTGAGGCCTAGGTTGAGGGTCCATTCTTTCATACTTGCGTGGATTTGCTGCTGCCTGGCAGCAAAACTATTGCACTGAATCCACTTGAAAGTAAATTTATGGCTCTCAACATTTTCCCTCAGGGGTTGTGAGCTGAGATTACAAATCTGTTAAGGGATAGATTCTGGTGATGCTTTCTCAGAGATGTTCCTCCCTTTACCTTCACTTCGTGCCTTGATGACGTTTCTTGTAGGCTCTGGGTAGAGATGGGAGGTGCTGTATGGTTTCTGACATTCACATTCTGTATGTTGTAGGTAAGCCCAGCAGCAGTACCATGGTTTGGATTTCTACATTTGCCTAGATTTTGGGTAGATATTCTACCTGGTCAGAGATGCTTTTGAGAAGGTTTTATGTTTTCTTTTTAATCCATCATTTTAGTTGTTTTGGGGTAGTCAACTTGTAACACCCAGCTGAACCGAACCAGCATGGTGCTGGGTGTGGGAGGCACACCTGAGGGTTGAAGCTGGCAGCACAAGAGGCGGAACTGGAGCGGAAGAAGTTTGGAAGCTGTTGGGAAGCTGTTGGCTCTCCTGTTCTGGAGGAGCTTTCATGCTGGCTGTGTGGATGTGAATGCTGCTGTGCTCATCGTCGAAGTTTGGGGAACTTGTCGCTAAGAATGGCTGTGGTTCACTTTGAGGGGGCTCTGGTCTCTGAGTGCCATCTCTTAGCTCCAGTGTCAGTCACTCAGCCTGCAAGTGCAAATCCTTCATCTGTGCTGCGTAGCCCAGACTTTCTAGACTTCTGCCACTTGCCTTTGGGCCTTCCCAGCACAGGTCTGTGAAGCTGACCTGTGTGCAACATTGCCATGGGCTCCAGGCCTCCATTTGGACCTGTGGGGGCAGGCATTGTGGGCTCTAGGTCTTCAGCTGGACTCGTGCAGGACAGGGCCTCAGATCCAGGCCCTCAGTGGGATCCTTTCAGCCGTTAGTGTCTGGACAGATTTCCTGCACTCTTCTGAAATTAATTCTTTAGTGGCTATTATCAAATAATCCTGCAAATTATGTGTCCTGTATTGTCCTCTTGCAAGCCCTGACTATAGTAGCGGCTGAGGAGGAAGGGTGTTAGTGGTCTGAATACTCTTGTATCTATAATAAGCAGCAGACCACTGTCAAAATTGTCTCTTATGTATCACTGCAAGCAGCTTTTCTGTCTTATCAATTTCCAGTCTATTCACCAGGCAACTGAGTAATATTTTTAAAATGCAGACGTGATCACAGCATATTTAAAACCCTTCAACACGTCATTGCTGCTTAAGGATAGGGCATAATTCTCCACTGATTCCTTTCCTTGCTATCAGTTATAAGTTAGCGTCATCTAATCACTCTCTGGAAAAATCCCAGTAATGATTGTATTTTGGTGAGTATGTCGCAGGTTCAGAATTTGAAGAGTGGCACTTTATTGACTTTTAAACAAAACTTAAAGGCACTAATTACTGTGAAACCTCAAAGTCAGAAGTCATGGAGTCTGTGTACCAAAGGGAGACAAAGACTGAGCAAAAAGATTTTCTTTAAAAAGGTTTATAGTCTCATTGCTATTTGTTTCTTAATAACATTAATTAAAAAAATAAAAAGGTTTATAGGCTGTTTATTCCGACCCGTTTATAGGGTATAGCATAGACTCAAGAAATGTATGTTAAATGAATGGCAGCAGCATGCAGTGGTGGAAGTGTTCCATATATTGGCTCAAAGCTGCAATGCCATTGTTATTTATTATTATTTATTATCCTATAGTAGTTTTGTCACAAAAGGAATTGACTCTTAGAACAATACATGATTACTATGACATTTTACCTTGGCATGTGAGAGCCAGTTTGTGCTAGGTTTACAGGAATAAACTTGAAAGTCTATTGTTTAATTATTGAAAGCTTAAGACATTCCCTGACGTAGTCAGAAACTGCTGCGCTAAATAGGCTTATCTTTGCTCCTCCTGAAAAGGGCAGTTTACCAGCACATCACTGTATGTTATTTTTTTTATCTGTGTTTCTTAATGAGCAAAGAAAAGATATCGTTGGGTTTTGCCAGTCCTGTGTGTGGAGGAGTCACAACGGCAAAGCTTATGGCATTTCTCATCTACTCTTACCTATATTCTCAGAAAAGTTTGCTCTCGTTGGTGCTTTTTTTTTTTTTTTTCCTTCCAAGTAGGTGTTTTTATTTTCTTTTTTTCATTGGTGCTTAAATAGTGAAATAGAAACGGAAGTGCTAGTGAAGTAACAGCTTGAGAAGGCAGGTAATCTTTAAATCTTTACTCAACTGTTGCTGTATTTTTTTTTAAATTTTATTTATTAGAGAGAGAGAGAGAGAGAGAGAGAGAGAGAGAGAGAGAGAGAATGGTGTGTGTGTGTGTGGCCAGCTCAGCCCACCAGGGGGCGCGGCTGGCTGGCATGTGGTGCTGGGGGATCGAACCGCGGTCCCTGATGCTTTGCTAAGCTTGTTCTAAGTAGGTGCTTTAGACCACTGAGCCATCTCTCCAGCCCCAACTGTTGCTGTATTTATGGAGAATATTGCCATAAACCAGGAACTCATAGGTTTAGTTCTTATCAGAGATCTACTAAATAGAATCTGTGAGCATAAACAACTCTTTTACTATGTACTGTGCACTTAGATTCCTGGGGGAGCAGATGCTTAACCAGCGAGTATAAGCTTGCCAGAGTCGTAGTGGAGGAAAAAAAGTGTGTTCTAATATTTATTATCCACAGTGTCTGATAATACACAAATATAGCAACTTTATGTGTTCAGTTATAGTAAATAATAGGATTAGATTCATGGCCAAGGTTCTCTATGAGCCCTATCCTAATCTCTTCTTACCAAGAGTCTTGAGGAGCTGCTTCAGCATCTTATGGGAGACACTTTGTTGTTTATGGGTCTCATATTCCTGAATGTATTGTGAAAGACATACTTTTATCAAGGACTTGGCCTGAGCTCCCAGTCTGTTAAAACAAATTATGGCACAGGATTCTTGAGGTTTAAATAAATGAGATAATATGTTTTTGAGGAACCCAGGAAGAGAAAACTCTCCTGGAGCTAAAACAAGGGCTTTTTTGCATCACAAGTATTGGCTTCTTCATAGTTCAGGAGTGTGCAGGAAGTGGGGGGGGGGGCGCACAGCTGAGGCAAAAGGCCCCCCAAATGAGCAGGGCATTAAGTTAGAACAAAACAATAAATTTTGCTAATTAAGAGAACTTCAATCTCTAAGTTTGACAGCTTACTGTCCTTGAATCCTTTGAGATTCAGCAGCCCATCCTGCAGCATTTTCCTGTCTTAGGAGGCTGTGAATTCAAGCTTTCCAGTGCATCCAGAGAGCACTGCATTTAGCAACTTAACTCCTACACAGCCCAGTCCCCAGCAGCCTTTTCAGAATGGGGTTTTATAGCCTTGAACACTACTAGTGATTGCCTCTAAAGCAAAGAACAGGCATGCTCTCTATTGAAAAAGATCCAGTTCCCTAAACTCAAGGTTGCGCTCATATGACACGTCCTGACCTGCCCAGCCTCACCCTATGGAGATAGCTCTCTGGTAAAAGTACTAATTCTCTGGCTGTTGCTACTGCTGAAATAAACTTATTTTAAAATCGCAGACCCAGGAGACTCCTGTCTTCTCCCAGCATCTATGAAACTATACCAGACTGTCTTATTTTTTAAAAAGCAGGACAGACATTGTAAAGGTTTATTATGTATTTATGAATTCTTACACTTTATTCTTTGGCAAAAATTTGAATGAATTTGTTTCTTTAGAAAATATTGGGGCCAGGGAGATTGCTCGGTAGAATAAGTGCTTGCCTGATAAGCAGAAGGGCCTGAGTTCAATCCCTGGTTCAGCCAAAAAAAAAACAAAAAAAAACAAAAAACAAAAAACCAGAAAAGAAAATATTGAGTGGGTCTACCTCATTTGTTGTTGCTATTCTTTTTGGTAAAACAGAGTATCCTACCTTACTAAATTTTTGTTTTTATAGGCTGTTTGCCGCTCTGTGTATTTTATGCCTGGCAGGATTCTTGAAGGTAAGTTGCTTTAGGAATGGCTGACTTGAAATATAATTCAGGCCATGTCAGTTTAATAACCTCAAAAGGCTGTAGGAGTCACTTTTAAAAGACACACGAGGGCTAAAAGATAGCACAGCTGTCTAAGTGCCTGCCGGGCAAGCACAGGACTTGGGTTCAGTCCCTGGTACCACATGCCCTGCCAGCCCCAGTATCCTGAGGCGCACTGTGCTGGCCCCAGAACTGTAATCCCAGTGCTGGAAAGGCTGAGACAGGAGGATCACTA